TCAGGATGGGATTACTTCTGTTAAGACAATGAGTCTTCATCCTCTGACCACCAGAAGGAGACCCCACTGCCCACGGCGCACGTGCAAGAGAGAGGGACCATATGCTGATGGGCTCTCACAAATGTAATGAATACGGATACGAATTCTGGGAAGATCACTGATTATGTAGGTGAGCCTATATCTGAACCAAGCTTTTGCCTACGTTGGGCAAGATAGGCGGAATATCCCCCTTGCACCCGGTGCCTGCGCAGCACTGATTGAAACATACCTGCTTCATAATCAAGCTTTGGGTTGTGGAGTCTGATTCCACGAGTCAGAATGAAAAAAACAGCAGAGCCCAATGTGGTCAGAAAGAGTCGCCGCTCAACCAGCTTCCAAAACAACCCCACTATGTGCCTGGTTGCATGCTCAGAGTCACCCTACTGGGTTCTCTTTTGCCTCTGTCAAAAATGTTTTTCTGACCACATTTGGAATATTCCTGTTGTTTTAAAGTGTGAAACTTAAAGCTCCGCACTGAGCAAAAAGCATTAAAAAACAAATCTTTTTCTTGTTGTATTCTCGTGTGTTTTCTGCAAGAATTTTGTGCCTATAAAAGCCCAGAGACAAAAGGGAAGCATGTGTCACTTTCTCAACAAAAAGGCTGCAAAATCTCAGTTTTATGTAAATAAGCACACGCTGCTCCCAGGGCTTTAAAACCGGGGAATGCTGAAAACGTCTATAGTTCCTCAACTCAAGTGTTGCTCCTGGGCAATGCTATAATATTCATTAAAGAACCCATTTATCAACAGATACCACATGTCAGAGTTTTCCAGCACGGCTTCCTGACACTGCTCTGAAAATGATGCTTAAAAGACAAAACCTGAAATGGAAAGCGATAATCCGGGATTCTTTTGCCTGCTGTTTGGCCCCACAATAGTGATTAGCAACTAAAAAAGTAAAGATTTACACTATATCCTTTCTGATAACGTCGAGCGTTATGCTTTATTTTCCAAATCATTAGCATGCACAAGAATGACCTCATGGTGAACAGATGCACTTGGATATGGCAGTGATTAGATCAGTCCTCTCAGCAGTCAAGTGTGCCCATTTCAATTAACCCTTTGAAGCACCAACTGCAAGCCCACGGTGCTGAAAAGCAGGGCTGGAGGTTCTCTCCGAAGCAGAAATCTGCCCCTGTATGAGGGTTTCTCTGGTCAAAGGGCTATTTCTTTTCCCTTCCAGTAAGTCCACCTATTCCCATTTTCTAAGAGTTAACACAGTTCTGGATCCCGGTCTCGAATGAACAAAGCCACTGCTTTTTAGCCACCAGAGGTAATTGAAGTTGGAACGTTTTGTATCTGTTTGCACCTGTTCAGTTTTTATCCCTTTTTAAAGCATACGCAAGCATTTCATTGAATAATTGTTTTCCTTTTTTTTTTTGGCTGAGGGAGCAAGAACAGAAAAAGATAGCAGCTTAAAAACCCATCCTTTAAAAGGAGAAAAATCTGCAGAGGGAAAGGATAAGAATAATTCAGCAGTGTTGGATTACTGAGGATTTCCTGGGCTGCCTCTCATACCCAGCCTAATTAAAATACAGCATGTAATGTACCAGTTTAACAACAAAGGACGGTATTCTCATCTTTTGTTCCTAATCTGCACATCCCCTAAATGAGTTCAGGGACGCCCGTTCTGCCCACCAGCCTGCATGTGCAGCGCCTAAGAAGGACTGGGCTATCTGTGATACGTAGAGGGACTTTAAGGCTCTGTTCCTGCAAACAGCACAGGAGCTGTTTTCGTGTGTACAGCCAAGCACCTGCAGGATTATGTGTGATATGGGAGGCTAAGCAAAGGCGTGTTTTAAGAAGCCCGCGTCCCGTCTGAACCTTGGGGAGGCATCCCTGGAGACAGCCTCAGGAAACAGAAAAACAGCTCAGCCAAGGAACGCTGCAAAAACACGGCTTATTAGCAGCCATCTATTCAGTTCATAGAATCGCTTTGGTTTCCTTCTTGTACTGCACTGACTGCTTAAACCGATCTTAATTTTAATAAATGTGTACTTGCGACCCTTTTTATCACACAGGAGTGCAGGCAGTGATGGCAGGATTAGAAAGAAGTGGCACTCAGAATGAGATCAGAGAAGAAATAACCTTAAAATTGACCCGAAAAGTTTAAAAGCTAAGCAGGGCTGGCAGTTTCAGCTGGGAGAAAGAGAGCAAACTCTGTCCTGTGCCAGCACCATACATGCACTTCTCCACCAGCCACTTCTTCCCTCTTCCCTCACTTCACTTGCACAGCAATTCCCCTCGGCCATCCCATCAGCACATTGCTTTGCAGCCCTGTCTGATCACTGACGGGTGAGTTGGCTGCAAATGTATCCAGACTTCACCTGGGTTGCTTCTGGATTTCAAAGGAAAGATACTGTGGTTTAAGGAAAGATCAAAGCATGCCTCATCCTCTGCTAGACAGTGTCAGCCTTGTGCGTGGAGCTTGGAGTGGGAAACAAAGCAGAAATACTCAGTATTACGGGGTGCTGCTGGGCTCTGTTCTTGGTGTTTCCCAGCTCTGAGAGCTCCAGGGCCACACAGTCAGCAGGCTACAGGTTACCCTGCCTCTGGATGCTGGTGGTACATTTGTTAGCACCCACCAAGGAAAACACGCCCAGCTGGGTGTCCTGCCATGGGGTGCCCCTGCTGCCTCCAGGCTGATTGAATGTGTCACGGTCAGTGCTTGGTGTAACAGTGCATCTTCAGGGCAGCTACCAGCACAACTCTTAGTGATACTCAACTAAACACGCATGTAAGGAGCAGACAACTTGGGCAGACTCCTTCAAAGAGAGCACACCCAGAGGCATGGATTCACATCCTTGCCAGGACTCGTCCCATTACAAAAACCCTATTTTCACACACCAGCGGGGCTATTCTGGACTCATTCTTGCCCCACAGTCACTTACAGAGCCCATAAGAGAGGAACACCCGATTGCTGTGTGAAGCTTCCCGCTCGGTCCCTGGCTGCAGCCTGGGCTGCGACTCTTTATCCTTGCCCATCACTGGCCAAGAAGGAATTAGGACCGATAACCCGGGACCAGGTGGAGGTTTTGATCCCAGAAATCACAACCAGACTCCAGCTTCTCCAATGGGAAGGAAGCCCCAACATTTGGAGCCTGAATATCAGGACCCGACAGTGGCAGGATCAAAAAGCATAAACTCCTGACATCATAAACTGACGTTCCAGTACCAATTATCTAACGGTGTTCTGAGGAATGTAAGCGGACATCAGCAAAGTAATTCTGCATCCATCACCTAATTCAGAAAGCGTGACTACTGCATTATCAAATGAATCTGTCCTTGCCTGCCCAACTAAATTTCACCAGAGAAAGATCTGTAAGAGTGCTGTAAGAGAAAGTGAGAAACAGATACAACCATGCGCAGAGCACCTAACATATACTGAGGAATCTACTTCTTTTCCTGATGCATCAACAGACAAATGATTCAAAGTGCTAACAACACTGGGCACGAAATCTACATTTCTATTGAAATTGATAATTTCTTTTTGTCTCAGACTTTTGGCAGAGCGTATAAAAGAATTTAATTCACAGCTGTTCTACTTTTTAATGTAGAAAACATTAATCAAAGCTTTAAGTTATAAGCTTTTCTAATGTTGTTTAGTATTCCAGTTCAGCAAAGATCAATAGAGGCCATTCCTGTGTTTCTTGACGCCTCTCCAGGAAGCAGAGGCGCGATTATGTAAATAGCACTGGCTCCCCTTTACTTCTGCCAGCTTGCTTATCTCCAAAGCCTTCTGCCTGCTGCTACTGGCGACCAATGCAAGGACATGCATATACCTCTTATCTCCCAACAAAGCTCTGAAAACGCACGGATTGGAGCCAGTAATGTTAAACAATGATGCACGGCTGATTTTATTGGTAACTGATTTATTTTAGGAAATCTAATTTCTTCCTTCGATTTTTTTTTTTCCAGTTTAGATGGGAGATATTTGCTAACAAGTCAGGCGAGAGAGAAATAGAGCAGATGTTCTCCAACATTTATACAGGTCTGAAATAATCTATTAAACAACCCGAAAGTGTACTGGGAAATAATTAGCAAGTGCCAGTTTCACCCAAGGAGTGTAAAAAGAGGATTAAGGAATCTTTGTTCAAGAATCCAACGGGCAGTGACCATACACTTCTTGAGGTTGGAAAAGCAAATCTTGAGGGCACTGGAAATCTGCATTTTAGAAGCAGTGTTTCCTTTGAAGACGCATTTATTTAAACTTACTTAAAACAGCGAAGTTTGGCTCTTTTGGACTTTGGATGCTACCTTAAGACCTCAATGGGACACGTAAGGAATAAATTCACACAGGCATTAAATGCTCATCTTTCAATGGAGCTGATGAATGGTCGCCAGCATAAAGGTGTGTACACACACACATGCGGAATTACCCACACCTAACATATTAAAAGGAAAGAACTGAACAGGTTCCAGGCCAGGTGCTGGAAGAAAGCCTGCAATTTGCTCATACGTACCGAAGGCAAATGCTAGCGTTCCGCACACGGCTGTGATTTTCCAACGGAACACCATTCTTACATTTCTTTTTCATTAATCCCTGACCCTGGTATCTCAGCAGCATAATCCCCATTTAGCATTAGTAGCAACGGCTTCTACTGCGAGGAACTATTTTTCGATAAGTAAGCACCGATTCAGGCACAGCTTTTGAACAGCATATTCCCAGCTCAGCAAGAAACCCGCACTCCTGAATGAACCGGAGCACATTACTGAGAGAAAGTTCATTAACCTTGCTAGATTCGAGGGTTAACAGGATAGCTGAAGAAAGGAACAGAGTGAATAGCTCTGATGCAAAACAAATTAAAATGAATGTCATCATTCCTTTTGATATTCATTAGTTGATTCAGGGGAAGAATGGTCTTCTTAAATTTGCAAGCATTTATCTACAAAAAACAGGTGTACATCTGCTGCTCAAGTGCTTCTTAGTGCGAAAGAGAAGAATAACGTGCAGAGACTCACCAGTTCCACCCAGGGAGTAGCTGGGAGAGGGAGAAAAGACCTGAGCGGCAAAATCCTCAAATGTCATTACTTCTTTGTGGTTCTGGATTATTGCTTCAAGATACAGAGCTCTTTCCTCGTAGCTGCAACAGCCAGGTTAAGGAACTGTGTGCACAGAATAAAATGCTGTTACGTGACGTGCAAACCCACTGAAACACTAACAAAGCCACACGCTGGCGTAGGGGACCCGAGCTGCACAACACTGCTCAACGCTGCTAAACACGAGCAGCCTCCTTGCTTGAAATTACAGACGATGCTTTAGCTTCATCAGTGGAAAGGAGCGACTTGGTAGATCCGGTGGGATGCTGCAGTTACCAAAGGGTAAAACCTCAGCTTCCCCAGTGCAGGCTTTTTGAAACCACAACCCAACTTTAAGAGAAATTAGCTGTACTGGAAGTTTGTATTCCTGTTAAAATAACCCTGTCAGACTAGAAAAAATGATTAGATAGGAGGAAAGCTGCAGGATAGAAGAGAAAAAAAAACCCATGTTTACTCGATCATTATGCGTTTTAAAAGAAATTAACAGTAAGTGACACAAATCCCCAGGGCGCGAAGTTGATATTTAATGCAGATGTAGTATTATGTATCCTAAATGAATGACACGGATTGGAAAAAAAAACACAACACACACACAAAAACTTGCACACGTTATTGTCTGCATAATGCAGACAACAAAGCAATCTAAAATCAAGACTATTGCCTTTTAATTAAAACTCGGCAACCTGGAACACAGCATTCAAATGTGTAATCAAAAACCAGTCACCAATAAAACTTACAAGCGTAACAAGCTGAAGCAACTTTCCAGCTGTCTTAATAGGACCCCTGCTTGCGGCAGCTTTTCAGAGCGGAGAAAGCAAATCTTTTCCTTTTGTGTGCAGCTTCTGTTTTCTCAGAAGGTGAATCATACACTTCCAATAACGGGATAACGCCTGAAACAAACCTACAATGGGCTGAAGAACCTCACGTATGACTTTATGAATTAGCGCTCGCAGGCGCCCGTATGACATCTCATTCTCCATTTCCTCATTTAAAACAAAAGTTTTCAGATGCCCATTGTGTTTCTGTTGTGTGGAAACGCATTACGAGTTTGCAGGGCTGCAACGGGGGAGAAAAGGGCAATTTAAATTGAGAAATTAGGAGCGTACAGTGGAACGCCAGCGACAACATAATGCAGGTGAGGGTATTTAGAAGTGAAAAGCATTACTAATTAATACTGAAGTGCCCTTTGCGACTTTCATTATGTTAACAAAAATGCTTTGAAATGGCTTTAAAAAAAATAAAATCGGAGCACTTAAAAATGGGAGGCGGTGGCCGTAGTGTTGTGCCTCGCTGGGGGCAGCAATGGCGTGCCAGTTGCTAGAGCTGCTGCGACGGCAAGAAAAGGAAACAACGGCAGCGCCGGCCCTCATGCTAGTGGAGAAGGGCAGATACGCGATAAATCTTCTTACAAACTTCCCGTGGAAGCCCGGAGAAAGAGAATCAATAGATGCCGTTTCAGAGCGTGCACCTGCTGACAGCGTTATTTGTTTAGCGGTGCTCCCTTTTCTCCCCTAAGCCCAGGAGAACGCATTCCTGATAGCGCAAGCATTAGCCCGCCTGCATTCGGGGCTGCCTCCCTATTATGGGCTGAACTCCTGATGACTCTTGTTAATGAATAGGCTGCCAAACTTCCTCGGAGAGGAGGCACACGCCTGGGCCCTATTCTAAAGGGACTGACGGATGCCATTCACTTCTCATTACGAAGATGCTTATTCCGCGGCGCGCTCGGCTGTTGCCAGGGCCGTGCGGCGCACGCTCGGGCTGTCAGCGGGACGCGCGGGCCGCACGGCCGTCTGGCCAGCAGCCCCTCCGCCGCGGAGCTGGCACGTGCGGGCGCAGCGGGGAGGGAGCGAGGCGTGACAAATCGCTGAAAGGCTCCGGCCAAACCGACGGCTGCCGGCCACCTGAGCCCGCCGCCCCGCCGTCCGCAACGCCCGGCCTGCCGTGCGCCCTGCGGCCTGCTCCGGGCCGTGCTTCCAGCCGGGAGGGAGGACGGGAAGGCTCTGCGCTGCGCCTAATGACGTCCCGCTGCCTAACCAAAGGCCTCGCGCGTCCAGCACACAAGCCGGCAATGCGCCGGACGACTGCTGACACAACGCGACTCTGTACCAGTTTCCCTGAACGTCGTGCAGAAAAACAGAGGGGTGAGGTTTCGGCGAGGCCAGGGGCATGTCTCTTAGAGCCCTTACAAAACAAAGCACCGCAGCCGTTCAGATGGGCAACCGCAAGGGAAGCACTCAAACTCACCGCTGGGAGCTGGGTACCACCAGCACCCACGGCTGCACCCACCAGCACCCAAGGCAAGCATCAGCATGGCACAGGCCTGCTACCCCTCATCACCATCCCTCACAGCTCAGCATCCTCCAGGTGACCAACCAGGACAGCAGCCAGCTCTAGTTTTACCTAGCTTCAGTTTTCATTAGGGACATAAACAAGCTCTGAAAGGAAAACTGCTACTTCACTGTTGCAGTGTCATTACACTAGGTGGCTGTCAGATACACTCCATCCTTTGGAGCTCCACTGTACCTGGAAATTCCTTGTTAAGTGCTGGAATAGGCTCCCCAGGGAGGTGGCTGTGTCACCATTGCTGGATGTGTTTAAAACCATTTGGATGTGGTGCTCAGGGAAGGATTTAGCAGACAGTCATTAAGAGTTAGGGTAGTTTGGTTACCTTGCTTGATGATCTTTAAGGTCTTTTCCAACCTGAGCAATTCTATGATTCTAGGATTGTAACGCATTATGGGAATCCAAAAGAACAGAGAACATCCAAAGACCGCCAGTACAAGGTGGATGAGGAGAAGAAGGCTTGGAGATCAGCATTTTGTGGCTGTTTGTATCACAGCAGTCTGAAACAGTCTCTAAAACATCACTCTCGAGAAGCTTCCTCTCCATCACCATGTAAGCCTGACTCCCTTGTGGTAATTGCTAGCACAGTGCTGTTAAGATTGCAGCCACTGCACTTTTGTTGCACCTTCACCCTGAAGGACCAGGGATCTGATTTTACTTACTTAAACATGCTGGAAGATTAAGCCGGATCTGTTTAACGCGAAATTCATGTCACAGCTGTGCATGAGCACATGACGTAAAGCTGCCCTCCAACATGAAGCCCGGCCATATCATTCAGACGAAACCAATACTTGCACAGTGCTGTATAAACTACTATTTACTAAAAAAATGTTTTGCATGTATCAGCAACCCAGCCTTCACAGCTCATTGCTATGCCACGGGTTGAGCGGGGCCCAGAGAAAGCCTAAAGTGCCTGGCTGGCGGTGCTGCAAAAGCCTCAAGGCCAGACTGCTGAAGTGAAGCATGCAAATCATTTCTGGGGATGGCCTGGCTGCAGAGATGGGTTATGATCTTGAACCCTACACCGCTGAAGGAGCTGGACAGCTGGCTTCCCTGATTAACTAAGCCCCCATTTATCTGAAGGTTTTGGGTGTCCCTTGAGATCTCCAGATAAATGGGGTTATACCAGACATTCAAAGAAGCTGATCAAAAGCAGCCTCTTTTAATATGTATGGCAATTTGACCCATCTCTTACACGATTGCATTATTTTACATTTTACTTCTACCACGACAAACTCCAGAGCAAAATGCTTTTAATAGGCATAAACTCTTCCATTTATTTATATTCATACACTGAATGACACAGAGCCACAAGAAGGCACACATGGCCATCAATATATATGAATGTGTGACAGCAGGAATTTATCTCCAATTAGAATATGGCAAATCTCAGTATTTGACCATTATGAGTTTTTATAAATATTTTATAACTCGATCAGTTATTTCAACCGTTCAGCCGTACAACAAGCTGTGTGACAGGAGAACCTCCAAAGTCCTTGTTGTCTATGTTCTGTAGATGAACAGAGCCAATTTGAGGTCCAGATGTGTCCAATGTCTCTGTCTCTGGACACACAAGCCATGTTGTATCATAAAGGCGCATTTAGAAACAAGGAATGCAGAAAATAATTACTCAAACAGATCTAGAAAATGCAAAAACCTAAACTCTGTGCTGACCTTAAGGAAAAATATCAGGTATTGATCACTACTGGCAGCAGTGGCCAGCGATTCCTTCTTTGCACTATTTTTGGAGAACAAAATCATCTTGGTAACATTCTCATATTGCTAATATATGAGAACAATCACGCATTTTGTTGACATAGCACTCTTTTCATGGAAACAAAAGCCAAAATGCCCAGTGGGTTCTAACAGGCAAAGTGAGAACTGCCGGGCGACCCTCCACAGCTTACTGTTTTGTGGTGTGCCAGTGCCAAGGGGCTCCATCCCACACCAGGACCCAACGGCTGGGCTGCACAAGGAGCACATGCTGACACGACTGTTCCTCTGGCTCCAGAGGGATTGTTAATGCCAACTATTGGCATGAACTGATTGCAATTCCCATCTGTGATGCAAATCCTACCCCGAGAAGGGCTTTCAGGGCATCTGGCCAGTGGAGAAGCTGGAAATATAGAAGCAGACAGCTCTTTCCAGCCCATCAAGACTATATGCATGACCACACGTCAATTCCTAATTCCAACCACACAGGGAGACTTGAAGGAAAGAGAAATTCTTGGAATGTCTTCTTAAATGCAAGAAGTACATTGCTCATATCTCCCCAGGGGCTTCCAGCTTCACGGATGCTCATACAGGTGACTACACAGGCATTGTGCAGGCAACCTGAGAAAATCCATTCTGCAAATAGTTTGCTAAGGCTGAGGAAGGTGCTGGGGCAAGCTCCTGTTTTACTGTCCCTTCTTTTCAGTACCAGAGAACTATGGATAAGTAATTTCTCACCGTCACTTTTATTTCAATATCCTCTTAATTTGCACCATGAGAACCAAATATGGTTTCATAAAAAGGTTTTCTTCCTGCTACAATGACAGCAGTTTGATAAACAAGCACCAATATAAATGTTTGGGACTTACCAAGGCAAAATAGAAGAGGGGCCATAAAATTGAAGCTAACAAATGTGGCGGTAAGATGACCTTTATATGCCTAATTGTCCTCGCAGCTCTGGATACTACAGAACTACCATGCTTTT